AAAAAAAAAAAACACAACCACATCCACATCCACAGTGGGATTTTTCCCTTCTCTCACTCTTTTCTTCTTGCCTCCGTCCTGGGCGCGCCCTTGCCGGTGTTGCCTCCGTATTTCCCACTCCACTGGGCATGATCACTACTCCCTGCTCCTCCATGCAGCATATGGCGGACCTCCAAAACGGAACATCACGGTGGCCTTCCGCTTCAGCTCCTTATTTTCCGCCTTTAGCACACTTATCTTGCTCGCGCATCCTTATACATGCGTTGGAGCAGAGCCAGTGGGAGTTTAACTGCTGCACCTCATTTGCCCTACTCTGCAGCCGGTTCGACAAGTTTGTAACCGCAGTCATGGTTTCCACACATGACTTCAATTATACTGATTGGCTTCCACATCCGACTGCACTGCCATTCTTTGCTCCACCGACCGCATCGGAAAGTTCAACGGAGCAAACTCTGGGGCGCTTGGTTGAGGTTCAGTGCCACCGCACCAGTTATCTCTCTTGTTGACTCGTTGAGGTCGGGAAAGAGAGTGAGCGACCACGGGAAGATGAGGCCATGTTCTGGGTAGCTGAACGGGAAGAAGAGGCCATGTTTTTTGGGTTGCTGAGTGTTTCGAGAAGGGTTGGATAAGAGTATTTACAGATTTATTTCAGAATGACAAGTTCAGAGGTTTCAGTCTGGTTTGGTTTCCACCGCCTCCGCATTGGTTTATATCGACACTGACGACGCGGCCAACACGCCGCTCTGTCGCTCACGTGCCTCGCCGCGTCTCCGGCTCACCTTTGATGCTCGACGCTTTCTGTCGGGCACGACTTTTGATGAAGTGGGCGCGCCTTTTGAGGGCGCAACTTTTGATGGCACGCCTTTTTATGGATTGGGCACGCTTTTTGATGGCACGCCTTTTGACAGATTGGGCACACCTTTTGAGGGTGCGACTTTTTAAGGGTCCGACAAGACTCTGTAAACTGTCCCGACATTGATTCCGGTTAGCTCCTTCATGGTCCGACAAGACTCTGTAAACTGTCCGACATTGATTCCGGTTAGTTTCTACAAGGGTCCAGCAAGACTCCGTAAACTGTCACAACAACTGTCACAACATGTCATTGTCTGCTACAACGGTCCGACATGACCCCATAAACTGTCTTCTACATCGGTCTGACACCGCCATCCAGTGTCCTCTACACCGTTATGACACCACCATACAGTGTCCTCTACAACGTTATGACACCCCATACAGTGTCCTCTACAACGTTATGACACACCATCCAGTGTCTTCACCAATGGTCTGACACGACCATACAGTGTCACCTATCCTCTTTTATTTTTATGTATTTTCTTGTTTTGTAACTCTCTCCAAACTCAATTGGCTAGTTCCTATCCCCCTTGAGTTTGCGGGGGGCTGTTAAAACCTATCACCTACTTCACCCACTTAAACCTACTCCACTAAACCTAACCACTACACCACTACCACCTCACCTACTCCACTAAACCTAACCCACTACACCACTACCACCTCCCTTCACCTACTCCTTACCTACTACACACTCACCCTCTTCTATATATAGGAATCATGAATCATTGTAATAAATATATCAATATCAATCAATCAATAATATACATCAATTTTTCTTACATTTTTGTTTTGTTTTTGTTTTTTTTTTTTTTTTGTTTTGTTTTTCCTCTCTCCATATATTTTTGATGCCAAATAAGCTTTCTAAGATTATAAAAAGAAAAAACGTACAAAGATATTTTGATGAGTGTCCAAACACAGGGCATGTGTGTACTTGAAGTGTCCCCATGTCCTTCAAAAAAACTATTATTAACAAATTTAACACCCCATGTTGCGTGTTGGACAAGTGGACACCTGTGTCAATGTCGGACATGGACACAGACACGGCTGTGCTTCTTAGGTTTCTGCATGTGTGCGTGTGTATATATTCGTATGTATCTCAGATGTGACTCCTTTTCCTTCAAGATACTGCTGGCTGATTCTGTGAGTTTCATTTAATAGGGATTGATGGGGTAAAGTTAACAGATGGCCGTCTCCTACTTGCTTACAATACAGTCTCCAGGGCCATTCTCAAAGTAGCCCTCTCATCAGATGATGGAAACTCATGCATGAAGTGTTGACATTGGAGGACACAACGGGAATGGAATTCTCTTATCCAGCTGTTATCCAGGCTAGTGATGGACTAGTTCACATCACTTACACATATAATAGGACTCAGATTAAGGTAAATAACTTCCTTATCTTGATAGTGTAACTGTCCTGGCCTCGATAACTGACATTTTTTTCCTTTTCCATCATTCATTCAAAAAGCTATTATTATTATTATTATTATTATTATTATTATCTATTTTATCTATCTCTTCCTAGCAGTTCAGACTGATGATTAATTGAAACTTTTCCTTTGATGAAATCTAATGTCATATTGTCCTGCGTTTGCAGCATGTTTTCTTCAAACCACTTGATGGTATGACACATGCTACTGAAGCTTTTAGATCAAAGAAGGTATGAGTTTTGATCTTGTCTAATGTGTCACAACAGCTTCAGAATATAAGCCTATATAACTACACGAGTGAAACCACAATTACTGACATATCTAATCATAAATTAAACAGCCTGAAATTTCATTTGAATTAAAAATTTGTAGTGTCTTTTCATGCAGTTAATACGCTAGAATGGATCAAAATGCAGTCATTTATTTATTTTATTGCTATGATCTCTCTCTTCCATATAATATTATGCTTATGTCCTATGAAGTACACCATCTCCTTGATCTTTATGTTTTTCATTTGTTATTTTTTAAATTTCTGTGGTCAGTATTGATTATTGCAGGGCATTTGCAATGTAGGATGATCTCTGAATTTGGAGGCTATAATATTTATACCAATTTATGGTGTGATAAAATTTTGAAGAACTCAGATAATACATGTAAATATAAATATAAATGTATGTAAGTGTGTAGATACAGACTGAGCGTTTATACATGTATGTATAAACCTACTTATCTATGTGTTATGCACATTTTGGTGTGTACGTATAAATTTGATATGGTAGGACACCCCAAGCCATTGAGCAAAAAGTAACTTCTTTGTTCTACAAGCAAAAACTTTATGCTTTTGAGAAAAAAGAAAAAATTGCTTTCTTTTTTTTTTGGGAGTGCTTTTTTAGTCCATGTGGGCAATGGAAGTGTAGGAAATGGTTAGTGAAGCGGTTGGTTGTAACCCTTTCAGGAGAATAGAGGGCAATTCAATGGCTAGCAGTTGTCGGAGGTGGATGAGGAGAGTGAGAGAGTTGTATATTGCTCTTATTTTGGTAGTATTTTTCTGGTATGAGGTAGTTAGTACTGGAATACATTTAGGGTTAGCATTGATAACTATATTTAGTGCTTGTAATCGTTTTCTCATTTCTTACATGGTATCAAAACTCAAGTTGGGAGAGGTCTAGGATTCAAGTATCCCATTTGGATTTGTCCCCGTTTACATTCTCCCCTCTCTCTATGTATATAAAGATGTTTGCATCTCCACGTGCAAGATGGGATTGCACATGTGGAAGGGTGTTAGATAGCTTGATATACATTGTAAAAAAAATTTCCTAAAAGTTTAAGCTTTTGGGATAGTTGGTGACTTAACAGATACATGTGTCATTGAAACTTCGCATGCTCTCTGTACTTCCCTAACTGTATGGGATATTTGTTTATTTCTAGATTTCATCTATAAATCCCATGTATTATGTCCAATTCATTTCCTTCTTTCATCATATGCCAATATTCAAAGATAAACTTTAAACTGTGTTCTTGTCAAGGCTTTCAGTAAATGGAGCTGACCTGGCATGTACCTATCATGTCATTTGTGTTCTTGGGAGAATATTGATGGTTACTTCAACTGGTGCTGTCATAAAACTACAAGCCCTTTTCAGATGAGAGAAAGGAGAGAAGTATTGCAACAAGATGTGTTTCTAAATCATCTTTTGTTCATTAACTTTATTTTGTTGTATTTTTGCAAATATTGTTTTTTTATTGATTTGAATTAATTCTGAGAATTTATATATGTTCAAAATTTTGTTCTTTATTTGGTGTATTTTTGCAAATATTGTTTTTCGTTGTTGGTTGAATGAGTTCTGAGAATTATATATGTTCAGATTTTGTTCTTTAATTGTTTTATTTTTACAAATATTGTTCTTTTGGTTTGCGGCCTTGAAACTTATAAATGAAGCCCTGAGATACTATTCTAAAATTGGCCATGTACAATACAACAAAAATTCATTATCATTTAGGGTGTGTTTGATTATGAATTTGGTTAGAATTTTAAAGGAAAAAAAAGGGTAATTATAAATGTGAAATGTATTATTTTTTTTTTCTCTTTTTCTTTTCAAATTCTTGTTACGCACTTTTTCGTAACATTCGGAAGTAATTGCTGTTGCATGTAGGTAATAGTGGTGACATCATTTACATTTAAAAATCAATTAATTTTTTATTTTTTCTGTTACAATATTTTTATTTATCTATTACTTAATAAGATTGAACATATTTTGTTATGTAGTTGTAACTTGTAATTAAGAATATAAATCATATGACTTTTTAGGTGTTTTTTTTTTTTCATAAATAAAATAAAATTAGAGTATCCGAAAACATACTGACGGAAGTTGAGCTGAAAAAAGACATACAGTACGACCATTTTGGGTTGGCCAAGCTAGAATTGGGGCCATTTAATTTCATCCATCTGCAGAAAACTGATAGGGTTAAAACCATATATATATATATAATATATATATTAAGGAAGAATGAGTTTGTAATGAGAAGACTTTGTGAAGTTCAAAATTCTCATATTATTTTTTCAGAGTTCTTATTTTTTAATAATTAAAAAAAATTTATGGCTAGTTTTTATTGGATCATTTAAAAATAGTAATTATTCATTTGTATTTCTTGATTTATGATTTTTAAATGAAACGCATACTGATCCATTTCAAAATTTTAAATTCAAAATGGATAAGAGATTTTTAAAATATTTTAAAGATAAAAGATCAGTTTGATTCTAATTTAAATTCTTTCATTAAATTTATATCATACCCAAAGATATTTTACAAAAAATTAAACTTATAAATCAACTTCCATGACAATATAAAATTGGATAAAAAGATTGGAGAGAGAGAAAATCCTACAGAGGAATTAAATAGGTGATTTGATCAATTATGCAAAAATTTTGACATCTTATATGAAAAGAAACACATGTTTGAAATCTCATATTGTGTTTTTTTGCATTCTCTTTTTTTTTGGTGCAGATTTTTCTCTCGTTGTTTTAGTTTTAGTTTATTTGGTGTTTTTATTATATTTATTTATTTATTATTATTTTTTGTTGCATAATCTAAAATAAGTTGTTGAAATTATAATAATGTAGTAGATGCGATTGTGCCGCAAAATCTATTTTCATTTTTTTTTAATAATTTGTTTTTGTAAGTACAACATATAGGGAAAAAGTAGTAGTGACAACGAAATGCTAAAAGATCAATACAATGAATAATGTTTGCAATGCAATTGGAGTTCACACATTTTTTGAGAAAAAAACTACCTATCGATAAGAGTATTTGGAACACATTCATGAATTTGAAGGAAGTTTTTGGTCAATCCATTTATTTTTCATTATTTTTTCTTCAATTATATTAATTTATGAGTTTTATTTTTGTTGTAACATAAAGGAGAATGATGGATTTAAATCAAATATAACTAAACTTAATTATGTAACTTTAAACATTTTTACTTACATTTTTATTTTTTCATTTAAATTTTCATAGTTTAAATTTGTTTTCTTACATATATATAGATGAGTACACTAATTAAGTAGGCTTTTAAATGATAGTTTATCTTTTGCAGTAAAAAAGTCTTATGCACAAAGAAGCATTTCAAGCGAATGAATCTCAAATTTTCTTAAAACTTAGTTTAAATAAATATATTTTATGTTTCTTCTATGATTGTTGAATTTTATATTTACATGCATAACACGTGTCACTGTGCAGAGAAATATTCAAGTCAATCGCGTTCTATGCTTAAGACCTTATTATTTAAAATGAATAATTATATTATCATATAACACAAAGTAAAAATAAAACTAATTAAGATTTTAAAAAGAAAAGTGATGTTATTTTTTTTATTAATTAGTAAATTCAGAATGCAAAAATTATTAAAATTTATAGGTTATTGACACAACACACACACAAAAAATAAATAAAAATAAAAAAATGAATGATTATATATCATTAAACACAAAATAAAGTAAAACTAATTAAGATTTTAAAAATAAAAGTGATGCTATTTTCTTTATTTAGTAGTTTTAGAATATAAAATTGTTAAAATTTATAGGTTATTGACACAAAATAAAATTAAGAATAAAAAGGTAATTCCTGTTTTTTTTTAATTAAGTATTTTTTAGAATATAAAAATTGTTAAAAATTTATAAATAGTAGACACAAAATAGAGTTAAAATTTTATAATAAGATATCATAAATCTTATTTTTTAATAACACGAAATTTAAATTTAACAATTATAGGTGCATATTTCTTATCTAATTTTTAACTTATTACAACTCAGTTTTTACTTTTGAGGTTTTTTTTACAAATTGTTAAAAATTATAGTGATATGTTACTCTTATCAATTTTTAAACTACTACCTTCTTTTGTTTTTTATTTTTATTATAGTGTTATATTATATATATATTTTTAGATTTATTTTATTTTTATTTTGAACTTTTAAATTTCAAGTTGATTTTTTTGTTTTCAATTTTCATTTGATGTTGTTTGCTGAATTTCTCTCTATCTCATTTTTTTAGAATTTATTTAATTTTCTCTTTCTATATGCTTATGATTATCTTTAAATTTAAACTTGATTTTTTTAAATCATTATCTTATGTTTATAGAATCCACTTCTTAATTTTTCGAGAAATCTACTCTTATATTTATAGAATGATCCATTCTTATTCTTAATTTTCAGTTGAGAGTTTATTATTTTCGAAATTATCTAATTTTTTCTTTTCTATATTTTTATAGTTTATCTTTAAATTTAAGCTTTTTTTTATTATCTTTTTATATTATGTTATAAAATTTCACTCTTACTCTCCATTTTCAATTGAGTTTATCCGATTTGAAGTATATTCTTCCAAAAAAAAAAAAAAAATTGGAATTTAGTTCCTTACATATTTATATAAGCAATACTGAAAAACACTCAAAATACTATTATTTAAATACCTATCTAAATTTTAATATAAAAATGTTGGGGGATTGACCAATTAAGTCTCATATTTAAATAAACTTGTAATCTATAATAGTTTAAATATTTTTTCTATTGTGACATTTAATCACTTTGGGTATGTGTAATGACTCATTTTGCCCGCCACATGGAGGTGTCAATTTAAAAAAAAGTAACACTAAAAAGAGTTTTTAAAATTATTTTCCCACAGTTTTTTTTCCATTAAAACCCGGGGCCCACATTAGAAAGTTTGCTTCACCCCAAATTTTGAGAAAAAATTAACAAGACCAAAAAAAGAGGGGTTTTTTTAATTTTTTTTTCTTTTTTAGAGGTTGGTTTTTTCCCCACAATTTATAAACCCACCATGTTTTTGGAGTGTTTTTCAAATTATGCCCAGTTTTGTGGAAAAGTTTATTACTAAATTAGTTTTTTTTTTGAAGTGGTTCACAATCCATTACCTGTCAGTTGTCACGTTTAGAAAAAGTTATCTCCTCTGTTTCACCTCGCCGTACCAGTGTCATACCCATGATGTATCCAAATGTATTTGCCATACCCGGCATGCATTCGTCGTACCTAATGCACATACCGCCGTATCAGTATGCGTACCCGCACCCGGTAAGTACCCGGTACTTGTACGACATCATTTTTGGAGTACTCGTGTTCCATAAGTAGTTTGTATAAAATCCGTGATTGTATAAATCACATATTTAGTGCCGTAATTTCTTTGTTTCCTAAATTGTAATATTCATTCCTTATATATACATGGCTCTACCTCATTCAAGGGTAAGCCAAACATTCTTCATTCTTTTTGGTATCAGAGCCAAGTTTTAGAAACCCTGGACCACCTTCTCATACCTGTCAGCACCTCTCCTTCACTGCCCAGCACTTTTGGGTAATACATCCTTCCTTCTTTAGTTGCCGTCAACCCTCCTCTCCTCTCTAGACCACTTGACAATCTCACTCACCACTCCTAGACCACCACCATCCAGTGTCTTCACCAATGGTCTGACACGACCATACAGTGTCTCTTATCCTCTTTTTTATCAGTTTACTTTCATGTTTTGTTACTCTCTCCAAACTCAAGTTGGTTTGTGTCTAACCTCCTTGAGTTTGAGGGGGGCTGTTAAACCTACTCCACTAAACCTAACCCACTACACCACTACCACCTCCACTTCACCTACTCCTTACCTACTACACACTCACCCTCTTCTATATATAGGAATCATGAATCATTGTAATAAATATATCACTATCAATCAATCAATAATATACATCAATTTTTCTTACATTTTTGTTTTTGTTTTTGTTTTTGTTTTTGTTTTTGTTTTGTTTTGTTTTGTTTTTCCTCTCTCCATATATTTTTGATGCCAAATAAGCTTTCTAAGATTATAAAAAGAAAAACGTACAAAGATATTTTGATGAGTGTCCAAACACAGGGCATGTGTGTACTTGAAGTGTCCCCATGTCCTTCAAAAAAACTATTATTAACAAATTTAACACCCCATGTTGCGTGTTGGACAAGTGGACACCTGTGTCAATGTCGGACATGGACACAGACACGGCTGTGCTTCTTAGGTTTCTGCATGTGTGCGTGTGTATATATTCGTATGTATCTCAGATGTGACTCCTTTTCCTTCAAGATACTGCTGGCTGATTCTGTGAGTTTCATTTAATAGGGATTGATGGGGTAAAGTTAACAGATGGCCGTCTCCTACTTGCTTACAATACAGTCTCCAGGGCCATTCTCAAAGTAGCCCTCTCATCAGATGATGGAAACTCATGGCATGAAGTGTTGACATTGGAGGACACAACGGGAATGGAATTCTCTTATCCAGCTGTTATCCAGGCTAGTGATGGACTAGTTCACATCACTTACACATATAATAGGACTCAGATTAAGGTAAATAACTTCCTTATCTTGATAGTGTAACTGTCCTGGCCCTCGATAACTGACATTTTTCTTTTCCTTTTCCATCATTCATTCAAAAAGCTATTATTATTATTATTATTATTATCTATCTATCTATCTATCTATCTATCTCTTCCTAGCAGTTCAGACTGATGATTAATTGAAACTTTTCCTTTGATGAAATCTAATGTCATATTGTCCTGCGTTTGCAGCATGTTCTTCTTCAAACCACTTGATGGTATGACACATGCTACTGAAGCTTTTAGATCAAAGAAGGTATGAGTTTTGATCTTGTCTAATGTGTCACAACAGCTTCAGAATATAAGCCTATATAACTACACGAGTGAAACCACAATTACTGACATATCTAATCATAAATTAAACAGCCTGAAATTTCATTTGAATTAAAAATTTGTAGTGTCTTTTCATGCAGTTAATACGCTAGAATGGATCAAAATGCAGTCATTTATTTATTTTATTGCTATGATCTCTCTCTTCCATATAATATTATGCTTATGTCCTATGAAGTACACCATCTCCTTTGATCTTTATGTTTTTCATTTGTTTATTTTTTACATTTCTGTGGTCAGTATTGATTATTGCAGGGCATTTGCAATGTAGGATGATCTCTGAATTGTGGAGGCTATAGTATTTATACCAATTATGGTGTGATAAAATTTTGAAGAACTCAGATAATACATGTAAATATAAATATAAATGTATGTAAGTGTGTAGATACAGACTGAGCGTTTATACATGTATGTATAAACCTACTTATCTATGTGTTTATGCACATTTTGGTGTGTACGTATAAATTTGATATGGTAGGACACCCCAAGCCATTGAGCAAAAAGTAACTTCTTTGTTCTACAAGCAAAAACTTTATGCTTTTGAGAAAAAAGAAAAAATTGCTTTCTTTTTTTTTGGGAGTGCTTTTTTAGTCCATGTGGGCAATGGAAGTGTAGGAAATGGTTAGTGAAGCGGTTGGTTGTAACCCTTTCAGGAGAATAGAGGGCAATTCAATGGCTAGCAGTTGTCGGAGGTGGATGAGGAGAGTGAGAGAGTTGTATTATTGCTCTAATTTTGGTAGTATTTTTCTGGTATGAGGGTAGTTTAGTACTTGGAATACATTTAGGGTTTAGCATTGATAACTATATGTTAGTGCTTGTAATCGTTTTCTCATTTCTTACATGGTATCAAAACTCAAGTTGGGAGAGGTCTAGGATTCAAGTATCACCATTTGGATTTGTTCCCCGTTTACATTCTCCCCTCTCTCTATGTATATAAAGATGTTTGCATCTCCACGTGCAAGATGGGATTGCACATGTGGAAGGGTGTTAGATAGCTTGATATACATTGTAAAAAAAATTTCCTAAAAGTTTAAGCTTTTGGGATAGTTGGTGACTTAACAGATACATGTGTCATTGAAACTTCGCATGCTCTCTGTACGTTCCCTAACTGTATGGGATATTTGTTTATTTCTAGATTTCATCTATAAATCCCATGTATGATGCCCAATTCATTTCCTTCTTTCATCATATGCCAATATTCAAAGATAAACTTTAAACTGTGTTCTTGTCAAGGCTTTCAGTAAATGGAGCTGACCTGGCATGTACCTATCATGTCATTTGTGTTCTTGGGAGAATATTGATGGTTACTTCAACTGGTGCTGTCATAAAACTACAAGCCCTTTTCAGATGAGAGAAAGGAAGAGAAGTATTGCCAACAAGATGTGTTTCTAAATCATCTTTTGTTCATTAACTTTATTTGTTGTATTTTTGCAAATATTGTTTTTTTATTGATTTGAATGAATTCTGAGAATTTATATATGTTCAAAATTTTGTTCTTTATTTGGTATATTTTTGCAAATATTGTTTTTCGTTGTTGGTTTGAATGAGTTCTGAGAATTTATATATGTTCAGATTTTGTTCTTTAATTGTTTTATTTTTACAAATATTGTTCTTTTGGTTTGCGGCCCTTGAAACTTATAAATGAAGCCCTGAGATACTATTCTAAAATTGGCCATGTACAATACAACAAAATCATCATTATCATTTAGGGTGTGTTTGATTATGAATTTGGTTAGGAATTTTAAAGGAAAAAAAAGGGTAATTAAAATGAAATGTATTATTTTTTTTTCTCTTTTTCTTTTCAAATTCTTGTTACGCACTTTTTCGTAACATTCGGAAGTTAATGCTGTTGCATGTAGGTAATAGTGGTGACATCATTTACATTTAAAAATCAATTAATTTTTTTATTTTTTCTGTTACAATATTTATTTATTTATCTATTTACTTAATAAGATTGAACATAGTTTTTGTATGTAGTTGTAACTTGTAATTTAAGAATATAAATCATATGACTTTTTAGGTGTTTTTTTTTTTCATAAATAAAATAAAATTAGAGTATCCGAAAACATACTGACGGAAGTTGAGCTGAAAAAAGACATACAGTACGACCATTTTGGGTTGGCCCAAGCTAGAATTGGGGCCATTTTAATTTCATCCATCTGCAGAAAACTGATAGGGTTAAAACCATATATATATATATATATATATATTAAGGAAGAATGAGTTTGTAATGAGAAGACTTTGTGAAGTTCAAAATTCTCATATTATTTTTTCAGAGTTCTTATTTTTTAAATAATTAAAAAAAAATTATTGGCTAGTTTTTATTGGATCATTTAAAAAATAGTAATTAATTCATTTGTATTTCTTGATTTATGATTTTTAAATGAAACGCATACTGATCCATTTCAAAATTTAAATTCAAAATGGATAAGAGATTTTTAAAATATTTTAAAGATAAAAGATCAGTTTGATTCTAATTTAAATTCTTTCATTAAATTTATATCATACCCAAAGATATTTTACAAAAAATTAAACTTATAAAATCAACTTCCATGACAATATAAAATTGGATAAAAAGATTGGAGAAGAGAAGAAATCCTACAGAGGAATTAAATAGGTGATTTGATCAATTATGCAAAATTTTTGACATCTTATATGAAAAGAAACACATGTTTGAAATCTCATATTGTGTTTTTTTGCATTCTCTTTTTTTTTGGTGCAGATTTTTCTCTCGTTGTTTTAGTTTTAGTTTATTTGGTGTTTTTATTATATTTATTTATTTATTATTATTTTTTGTTGCATAATCTAAATAAGTTGTTGAAATTATAATAATGTAGTAGATGCGATTGTGCCGCCAAAATCTATTTTTCATTTTTTTTTTTAAATTTGTTTTTGTAAGTACAACATATAGGGAAAAAGTAGTAGTGACAACGAAATGCTAAAAGATCAATACAATGAATAATGTTTTGCAATGCAATTGGAGTTCACACATTTTTTGAGAAAAAAACTACCTATCGATAAGAGTATTTGGAACACATTCATGAATTTGAAGGAAGTTTTTGGTCAATCCCATTTATTTTTCATTATTTTTTCTTCAATTATATTAATTTATGAGTTTTATTTTGTTGTAACATAGAAGGAGAATGATGGATTTAAATCCAAATATAACTAAACTTAATTATGTAACTTTATAACATTTTTACTTACATTTTTATTTTTTCATTTGAAATTTTCATAGTTTTAAATTTGTTTCTTTACATATATATAGTGAGTACACTAATTAAGTAGGCTTTTAAATGATAAGTTTATCTTTTGCAGTAAAAAGTCTTATGCACAAAGAAGCATTTCAAGCGAATGAATCTCAAATTTCTTAAAACTTAGTTTAAATAAATATATTTTATGTTTCTTCTATGATTGTTGAATTTTATATTTACATGCATAACACGTGTCACTTGCAGAGAAATATTCAAGTCAATCGCGTTCTATGCTTAAGACCTTATTATTTAAAATGAATAATTATATTATCATATAACACAAAGTAAAAATAAAACTAATTAAGATTTTAAAAAGAAAAGTGATGTTATTTTTTTTATTAATTAGTAAATTCAGAATGCAAAAATTATTAAAATTTATAGGTTATTGACACACACACACACACAAAAATAAATAAAAATAAAAAAATGAATGATTATATTATCATATAACACAAAATAAAAGTAAAACTAATTAAGATTTTAAAAATAAAAGTGATGCTATTTTCTTTATTTAGTAGTTTTAGAATATAAAAATTGTTAAAATTTATAGGTTATTGACACAAAATAAAATTAAGAAATAAAAAGGTAATTCCTGTTTTTTTTTTAATTAAGTATTTTTTAGAATATAAAAATTGTTAAAAATTATAAATAGTAGACACAAAATAGAGTTAAAATTTGTATAATAAGATATCATAAATGCTTATTTTTTAATAACACGAAATTTAAATTTAACAAATTATAGGTGGCATTTAATTCTTATCTAATTTTTAACTTATTACAACTCAGTTTTTACTTTTGAGGTTTTTTTTACAAATTGTTAAAAATTATGAGTGATATGTTACTCTTATCCAATTTTTAAACTACTACCTTCTTTTGTTTTTTATTTTTTATTATTAGTGTTATATTATATATATATTTTTAGATTTATTTTATTTTATTTTTGAACTTTTAAATTTCAAGTTGATTTTTTTGTTTTCAATTTTCATTTGATGTTGTTTGCTGAATTTCTCTCTATCTCATTTTTTTAGAATTTATTTAATTTTCTCTTTCTATATGCTTATGATTTATCTTTAAATTTAAACTTGATTTTTTTAAATCATTATCTTATGTTTATAGAATCCACTCTTAATTTTTCGAGAATCTACTCTTATATTTATAGAATCCACTCTTATTCTTAATTTTCAGTTGAGTTTATTATTTTTCGAGAATTTATCTAATTTTTTCTTTCTATATTTTTATAGTTTATCTTTAAATTTAAGCTTTTTTTTATTATCTTTTATATTATGTTTATAAAATTTCACTCTTACTCTCCATTTTCAATTGAGTTTATCCGATTGAGTATATTTCCAAAAAAAAAAAAAAATTGAATTAGTCCTACATATTTATATAAGCATACTGAAATCACTCAAATCTATTATTTAAATACCTATCTAAATTAATATAATAATGTTGGGGGATTGACCAATAAGTCTCATATTTTAAACTTGTAATCTATATAGTCTAATATTTTTTCTTGTGATCCATTTAATCATTTTGGATGTGTAATGACTCATTTGCCCGCCACATTGGAGTGTCACATTTAAAAAAAGTACACTAAAGAGTTTTTAATATCACATCATACCCGCCACATTAGAGTGTCACATTTGAGAAAAATACACTAAAGAGTTTTTAATTTTTTTAGAGTGTCACATTATACCCACCATGTTGGAGTGTCATATGCCATGTTTGTGAAAAGTATACTAACGAGTTTTTTTTTTGAAATGTCACATCATACCTGTCATGTTGTCACGTTTAGAAAAAGTATGGAGTTTTTAATTTTTTTAAAGTGTCACATCATATCTGTCACGTTGTCACATTTGAGAAAAGTACACTAAGAAGTTTTTACTTTTTTTGAAATGTCACATCATACTTGTCACGTTGTCATCTTAAAAAAAAAGTACACTAAAGAGTTTTTATTTTTTTTGAAGTGTCACATAATACTTGTCAGGTTGGAGTACTTGTTTGTGAGATGAGATTTATTGATAAATATCTCAATAATATTGAATTAATTTTTAACATATTTAATATTGTTTATCACCCTTTATTCCTTACCCGTGCATAACACATATTTCATGCTAGTTGGCCCTTTTATCGGAAAACCTATTAGGCCATGTTTGTTTGGGCGGACTGAATTAGATTGGATTAGTATTTTCATGACTAATAGTCCTAAGACTATGAATTCCTTTGGATTATGTATCCTATCCTATGTTTGGATTGAGGTAGGATTATAAGGAAGGATTAACAAAATATTGTCCAATCCGATATTTGTTTAAGGGGATTGGAATGGATAGGACATGACATGATATGGGACATCCAATATATTGACCATAATACCTCTATTATGGTCATTTGATAAGTTAGTCCAGACTTTGACTTAGTCCCCTAATTTATATCTCATCCCCTATATGGGATTGAATAGTTCATCATATGTAGGATACCATATCCAGATGGATTGTTAGTCCGTACTTCATTTTTTTGACCGAACATCGGATTAATAATTTTATTGAACTATTAGTCCAATCCTAGGCACATGTCCACCCAAACAAATATGGACTTACTGTATTACAAGTTGGAGATAGATGACAAGCTTAGGGTTGAAAAAAAAAACATTACAAATCAGTTTAATTACCAAACAATATTGTTTAGTTTTCAATGCATGATTTGATTCTGATTTTTGAAATAGGTGAATCGTACTTTATGGTTTGATATGCAATAATATTCTTGAAAAAGATCAATAATATTTTTTCATCGTATAGACAAACACACATGTATGTAAAATACGATATATAATATCACGCCCCGAAAATAATACAATAATTTAATAGTAAAGACTAATACAAAATGATATAAATAGAGTATTAGACTTTCATTAATCAGAGTCCATTTACAAAAGGGCACATACATTACATATTCATAAGCTCCACCTTGAATCTATAGCATGTGGCACCAAACTAAGTGATCAACGAAATAAATGCCCTACGGGCTCACATCTTTCCAAGATAGTTCTTGGTTACAATAAAAGTGAGCCTAACTCAACACAATTTGAAACCCTTGGCTATACAAAAATAGATATAACAAAATAGAAGCTCTTACTCCCAATCTCTCCAAGCTACTGCCTTGGCGGAAACATATCACCAGCACTTGAAAATGGTTTTTCTCAAATAGAGTGAGCCAAAGCCCAATAGAAACAATTTAGCACAATATATGAACTTTA